TGAAATTAAATTTTTTGAAATTTTTAAATCAAACAAAACAAAAATTAAGCTCAACTGAAATTGTTACAGTCTCGATTTAACTATCGCTAAAAAATAAAAATTTAATTCAATCATCGCTCGCCGCATGAAATGGAGTAAAGTTACGTATACGCACTGTGGGATTTATTTGGAAATTATGAAAGTGACAGGCGCTGATTTTAGGCACACGCAAGGCACACAGCGTGTCTTTGAAACAACAGCGAATCAGTAAAAAAAAATCACCGACATAAATTAAAACGCGCATGAAATAGAAATTAATTGATTAATAAATTTCGGTGCATATTTATACATACATACATACATACATACAACACATGTTAAGTAACATTTTAATGCCTAAATATTGCCCTGCCTCACAGCTTTTAGGCAAAATGTAACCAAATATTACTGTATTACAATATGTGGGCGTAAGCACAAGACTTATATACATACATATAATACTTGCTAAATATAAATTATTTTAGGCTTTTGTAATACATTTGTATGTAAATCAATACTTTGTATGAAACCTCGAAAATTGTTACTTCTTAAGCGGCGCATATTTCGTCCTCATGGTCACTGTCAAATGGAAGATTAAATTTATTAAATTATAAGCACATGCAAATCTGCGTTGATTTATTAAAACATCTTATACAAGCATATAAATATGCGTTTATTTGTATTTAGCGCGTGTTGCGTGTTGCGTGTTTGTCGACCACTCGTCGCTTAATTGCCAGCACATGTTTGTGGTGAATGAGAAATATTGCATGACTGAGAATTTAGCCATATATATACATATGTATTCACTTATATATATATATTTGAAATTGATTTTTTTGTTTGTGTTGTATTAACCGCAAAAGAGTTTCCATTCGAGCACACACCTGCATCTACATACACATGTTTGTATGTACATAAGAGGATATTCATATATTGTATGTATATGTGTAGGCATTAAACTTGTCACACTATTTAAATCATATAAATTAATGCGACTGATTTATTGCTTGCGTATTCACGCATATTTGTAAATTATCAACATAAATTTATCATTTTTAATCTTATTTATCATTTAACATACATATGTGCATACACTGTTATACCTTTATTTATTTACATTGTTTACATAAATCATTATATATAATATGTATATATGTATACTCATATGTAGGTATCGCTAACAAATAATTTCAATTCATATCAATACTGATTTTGTGGAATTTATCGATTTTCCCTTTTAAACGCGCTGGCAGCAACAGGAACAACAATAGCAACAGCAGCGGAGCAGCAGGAAATTAGCAATGTGCTGTCAACACTTGAGGTTTCACATTGTTGTGTAAATATTTTGAAGCTATTTTGCGTTAATGTATGTAAATACAATTACTCACAAACATGATTGCACTTTCCCCGACACCTTCGTTGACTGTATTAAGCTGATTTAAAACTAATTAATAATTTTGGTTTTGTTTGTTGTCACTTTTACGTCAAACGCACGAAATTTACTCAGAAATATTTATAGGATTTATGAATAGGAAAAGGAAAAGGGTTTCAGCGCGTAATAAGCGCGAAACTGCCAACAGCGGTGTGGTCTGTCATTATAATTGTTAAGGGGGGAACCTGGTGCAGAGGGTAAAAAAAAAATCGATAATTTGAAACTTATCTCATTCGATTAGAAATATGTTCAAAAATATTTCCACGATATTTCAGAGTGAGACTCCTAATCGTTCCGCAGTAATGGCCTCTGAGAGACAATGCGCTCAGGAGACTGATAATCGGGCGCGAGCGCTTTGAAAGCGATTTTCTCAAAAAGCACTGTTTTGTGCACACGATTGAAAAAGTTGTAATGGTCGCATTTTCATAAGTGATACCTTTTTTTACAGCTATCAGTGTAGGCTTCTAGGTGAACCTAAAAAGTTAAAATACAAAATTTTTTTTATTAATTTTTTTTTCAATAAATCATTTTAAAACTTTTTCAGAAAAACGCAAGTGAAAGTAAAATTTTTTTGCAAGATTTGTGCATCTTTGACCTATTTCAAAAGTACTTGAAACATTTCATACGTAAGGCAACCTAAAACACTGTGCCGAATATCACGCAACCTTCAGCGTTCTTAACCAAGCTCCCCCCTTAAAGAGATGTGAAAAACTCCATAAGAAGAGTACTGGCAAGACTAAAGAGCAACTCACACTGCCGTCAAGATACGCTCTGAACTATTGGAACTTTGTTCATTATCATATGTGTCAAATGCGTTAGTCTATAAACCGCGGTAGATGACGGAGGATACTCTTCTCCTTTCGATGCCGGCAACAAGGATCCACTTCAACTTCGAAGCTAAGCGTGTAGGTATATGCGCTGATCAGTATTCACAGAAAGTGCATAAGCAAGGAGAACTAAGGGAGCTGGCGTTAATAAAATTCTTTATTACTTTATTAATCCATGATAAAAGTCAAGCAAAGCTTCGACGAAAACTTTAAGCTAATTATTTTGGAAGTAACAACAACCTGGATATGAGTAAAATAAGTGCACTTGTTTTCATATGAGAAGCACCCATTTATTTCTATGATCTGAGCACTGGTGGTGGTTTGGAAGTCATAACTGAGATGAATTTATATCTTTGTTCTTAAAAATAGATCCCAACTGGATGGTCAGCGACCTCTGCGAGTGTTGTCAGTGTCAGTGAGTGTCAGTCTATTTCTCATAGCGTGAAAAGTTGAACTTAATTAGACAAGCTGCTCCTCATATCAAGCTCATTCTATGAGCTGTAGAAATGATTTGGCGCAGTTATGATGACTAATTTCGGGATTTTACTTCTTACTGATCTATCTGAGCTTAAGCTCTACATAAGTGGGCTGTGGAATCCATTTTCCGATGCTCTTAATAAATATGAGCATGAAACTATCTTTACAATCACGAAAGAAATCGATTAGCTGCTCTCAATCCTCGGTTGCTGGACAATCAGTTGCGATATATTCCCACAGTCAAGCTGCCACAAGATCTCTACAAGGTAAAAGTACCATAGCAATCTAAGCTAACCGTCGACTAAATGCACCACTACCGTGATTTGGCATGGTTGATGAACTAGCGAGAGAATACTTTTATAGGTTGCAGATTGCTCTTTGCCCACGGTAAAGTAATCTGGCCTTTGCTAAAGAGGCAGACTCTAGATAGCTTATGAATTACGGCAAGCAAATAAACAGATCACTGTTAAATGGGTCTTTACGGGAGAAAAATGTGTTATCATTCTTCTGATTTTTGACGCAGCTGTAGGGACGAAGAGCTGGAAGAGTCTTTAGAACAATATTTCTGTGATTGTAAAGGCCTAATATCTGTGGGGCACAAGTTCCTCGAGAAACACTTGGTGGACTATCTCGCTGAGCTAGTTTGAACGAAAATTCGCTTTCTCGTCGAACGGAATGGTTTGCACATTAGAAAGGGTAAAGACAGGAGCCTCACAACGGTATTCTCAACGCGTCTATTGTTCTACGTGCGTTGGTCACTGACCGACAGCCGCATCAATTAAATATAATTTAGCTAAGTTAACTGACGTAAGGGCCATCAATCTAGTTGGTTGGATAAGAAAGTCTAATGGTCAGAAAATTTTGGCTTTGCAATATCTTTTCAACAATATACTTTAGCCAGACTTCACATGGTAAAGTGCGATCTTCATTTTTATGAACTTTGTTCCTCTGGCATCAGTTTCTCAAGGAAAGTTTAGAATGATAAATCTAGTCAGTGGGTTTCAGACTTGGGTTTCCGACTTTCATATTCTTGCATTTTAATACGAATTCCAATGATGATGAAATGCTGATCCATGCCTCTTGTGACCCTGAGTTATTTTGAAACTAACCTCAAGCGAGCCGCTACTTAGCAGATCAAGATCAAGATGTATCGAACCAAACGGCAGCCAAGCTCTACTGTAAATAAACAAATAATAAGTAGGAGCGGATTCTACTCACATCATATCAGGACTTCACAATCACAAAACGAACAACAAATATTTCTAAATGAGTGGTTGTTTTTGCTAGAATTTTTAATTCAGCAGAAACTATGTTTCTAACCTGGAAAAAAACATTGAGTTTGCACAACTCGCAAGCACGAATGAGGCTAAATTCTTCCAACGTTTATTCGATTGAAATGAAGCTGAAGCTGAAGGCTTTTTATAGCATAAATCTTTTAAAAAATGTAAGGTCTCTTACGTAGTAGCGGCGGCAAGAACCAAAGACCACTCGTAAAAACCGTAATCTCAACCTCAGCCTCAACTGAACATAACTAAATCACGCCACAAAACACTTATATATTTTTTCCATTAATATATTTCAATATTTTAGTACAAACCTACATATGTATGTATATACAGACTTGTCACAATCCATTAAATAGCTGACTAAATGCCATTAACTAATTAAATTATTTATAGTAATTTATAACAATATTCCCTGCTTGAGTTCATCCATATATATTATTTGTAATTTATTTGCAAATTACAATAACAATAAAAATTATTTATAAATCTTTAGCAATGGATAAAACAAGATTTCAACACCTTTACAGAGTCTTGAATTATTGCTTTAATATAAGAAAGCGTTGTTGTAAATTTAAACAAATAATCAATTAAGTGAAATGAGCTTAAAACAAAGATAAGCAAATTTATAAATAACGGTAAAATTATACAATTTATGGTACTTAGATGCATACTCTTATATGTCATATCTACCACTACCAAGCAGTTAATTCTCAAACTAGTCGGAAAAGTACTAGTTTTCTACTACTCACTAAAGTGCCAAACTGGCTGAAATTACGAAATTTACCGATAAATGCTTTATTTCATACTAGAAAATACCGGCCATACGTTCTTGTAGCAAAATATATTTTATTATATTTAGATTTTTTGATATTATATAAGCAGGTGATAATTAAGTCTCACAAGTTGTAAAATCTTGGTTGGTTGGTTGATGTGGCTGCCGTTCATCAGCTCACCTAGTCCACAAGCGAACCCATTGTGATACCACCCACACGCTAATCGAACCATTTTGTGGAGTATGCAAAGCTAAACAGTTGCCGAATCTTTCTTAGATCGCCAAAGATTGCTACCACTTGTGGCTTCAACCTGCTGCTCCAAAGTGTGGGGCATTCGCAGATGAAGTGTCTTAAATTTTCAAGTTTCCTAGCTGCAACTTCTGAGGAAATCATTAGATCGTACGCCCTACCTCTCCGTCCTTTTAGAAGGCATTTAACTGTAGACATCTCCTTTCTTTTCAGCTCAATAAAGTTGCGTGACGTTCTTCTGTTAAATTAAATTGAAATATTAAATTCTCTATTATTTGTATAAATGTTTCACGTCAAAATTTGAGTTTCTGTTATTTCAGCGGCTGTTTTATCTGCCACTAAAACGTAAATACGAACACCTCAAATTTTCAATGGTTCCCTTACGGATACAAAGCGCCTAGTGTATAAACATATAATGACTAGCTGGTCCCTGCAAGGCTTCGCTGTCGCGCATACTCATTGAATATATGGAAATTTAGTTATGGGATATCTTTTTATCATAACTTTATTTACAGAACAGGCCGGTCTGCGGTTCACTTTCCGGAGAAAATAGTAGTCGGATTTTTTTCTTAATTGATCGGATCCTGGTCCACTCCTTGGAGGTATGTGTAGACTTTCTGTTAATCTAAGTATAAAGCCACCTATGTACGGGATTTGAAATAAATTTTCTTCGAATAGGTCGCTGGTCCACTTACCGAAAAATTTTTCGCAAAATCTTTCCAGGAATAATAGAGGCAATTTTACAAAATTTCGAGTCAATCGATGGGTAACTTTTGAAGATTTTTGGAGATTACTGGATTTTTCCAACCGAAAAAAAACAGATATAGAAGATAAATGTGTTATTAACATATTGGGATATCCAAAATTAAAAATTAAATGATAAGAAATGAGATTTAAAACCTAAGATCCGTCATCAGATCTTTACGTCTACTGAAAAACCAATACTTTTGAATGCGGCAGCTATGTGGTGACCTTCGTTAAACAGCGCGACAAATATTATGCTTCTATATAGGAGAGTGGTCTTAAATAATATTTTTGATATCCAACCAATAGTATTAATAGATTTTCAATGGAATCACCAACACTTTGGCGACCAGATAATCCTAGAAAGACATAATTTCATACCAAGTAGAAGAGATCGCTGCTGCTACACTCTTGGTATCCAAATCGACAGTATTGAGTTATATAATAATATACCTATGCTTGATAGAAGAGTTGGAAGCGTTGGCTTTTCAAGAGCTCTCCTTCAGACTACCCCAAAAGGTTATATTTAATTTTAGCTATAACCGTGCAACGATTAAGACACTTGGGTCACTCACAACGGTTTCACAAATTGTGCTGTATGGCAGCTGATCTCTGCAAGAGATGGCCAAATAGAACACAATATCTTTCTTTTGGGCTCTTGGTAATAAAGTAAGGTAGAAGAACTTGACGGACGACTAATGTATAATTTCTCTACATGCTAACTGCTACTTAGAGACTTTACCTATGAGCGGATCGAATCAAAATAGAACGAAGCTTTTAGCTGCAGAGCTTCTGTGCAAACATGACTGTAGTGCGACTGGACAAAATTTAAGCGAAATATACTCTCTCAAAGAGCGCATATTGCTTAAGTTGTAGGAATTTTAACAGGACAGTGCTTGAAAGGACAACATGCACCGAGGCTGTGATCTCCCTTCAAGAGATGCCGTGGAAGGTGTAAGCACGATGAAGAGCGAAAAATTGTATTTAATTTTCAATTTAACTGCTCCGCCTGAAACAGAGCTAGGATCCAATAACTGCCGACTATTTTGGTCAATTTTGAACTAGTACGAGACGGGTATATTTTTCACCACAAACTAACAGTATCGCTCTCGCACCAAATATTCGTTCATTCGTTTGTTGCTTACTAGTGAAATTTCTCTGACATGCCATTTGACTTGTCCCTTTGACCGCAGTATAAACTTATATTGTTTTGAATTAAATTTCATGCCAAATAAGCACAAGCCTATTAATTATATACAAACCACAGCAAAGCATAAACACTGTTGTGATAAATGAATAATTTAATGAGTAGAAATATGAACTAGTCATTTGTAGGGAAAGAGGATATGCCTGTATATGAAGTGCAGTGTCGAAAGGACCAAATGAAATGTTACTTTTGCAAATGCACACACATACGTGCGCATATGCAGATATAAGAATGAACTTAAGTGGAAGGATGCTACACATAAGCATTAATTACAAAACTTTCGGCCTTCATTCAAATCATTCCCATAGCAAGGCGATGATGACATAAACCACAACTTTCGAGTTTGTTTGCGGATATCTAAAGGAAAAGCACAAAAATTGTTGAGAAATTTCAAAATACAATGGATATTATATTGTGTGTCTTTATCTGTGCACACAAACAATTTCGTTACCAAACAAAAGTTGTGCTCACCACTGGACACGCAGCAACAAGAGTCTGTCTGTAAACTGATTTCGGCAAAGTAATTAAACGAACTTTTAATGATGTTGACATTTTGGTAAAACCTCAGTGAAGTACTGCCTATTTACGACCAAACTAACTGTTGGCTTTTACGCATTTTGCGACATAATGAGTTTTTACTAATTTTCAGCTAAATATTTTGTGTTCTCTATGTTTGTATGTGTGCATGTGCGTTTGATTGAGGCGTATCAAAGCTACAGCTACAAATGACATGCGTGCTCATATAATGAGTTTCTGCTTTAAATATTTTTTCGTTGATTCTTGATGTTTTTTTTTTTTGCTTTTAACAGCCAATTTGATGGGTTAAACGTACTTTGTGGTTTGTTTGGCAATTTATTTAAATATTTTAAATTCTACTAGAAAACTTTGCTCTCCCTATTAAGGATTATAAATATTAATGTAGATAGAGCAGACAACCGCAGAGAAATTCTAAAGGGAGCTAAGAGTACACGGGGATGTCGACAACAGTACACGCGCTCTTTTGTCTATTGAATTTCTTGGTTAGTCGCCTATGATAACATGTTCGATCATTCGATCAAAAGAAGCGTCTTATAGGTCAAAATAACGGGAAGAAAATGTCACTCAGATTATTCTAGCTCGAGGTGAGAGGCACCAACGCTAAAGAGCCACCACTTTCAGGAGCAAAGGTAAAGGAATGCACCTTTACATACATATATCCTTATAAAAAAAAATATATGACAAATTATTCATTGTTATGGCCCAGACCATGGCTTTTTATAAAGATAAGTGCTTTTCATAATGTTTTAAAAACTATAAAAATCTAGCCGAGAAACCCAATTTTCAACCATTTTTGTAGCAGTTGTGGTCGTATGTCAGCAACAAAGCCTCGAATGCTCTCTTCCAAAACATCAATTGTCTCTAGCTTAAATGTGAAGACAAAAGATCTCAGCCAAGGTGCCAGGTAATGCGCTCACCAAAAGTTTTCTTCAATTAGTTGATTGCTTCGCTGGCTGTATGGGACGCATCGAGCGAAATATCCTCCACATCAATATCCTCCAATTCTATTACGAAAAGTTCCATTAATCACGGCTCTATAACGTTGCCCAGTATCATTATTGAAGAATTTAAAAAAAGTAAATAGTTTAATGATTCTCTCCGCTCATAGATCACAACGACCAGTAATTTTTAACTGATACAACGGTGTAACAGTAATGGGGAATCAACATTTTATGAGTTTTACTGCTTATTATCCAGTAACCCAATAGTATGGCTCTTCACTGAAAAAAATGTGGACTGTTATCATTGTAAAGTCAATGGACGTGGGCACGATGATGAGTCAATATCTCGTACCATCATGAAGTTGCATTTTGTCAATCTTTTATTTAAATGGATTATATATATAAATATAAATACGTAAGTAGATATATTAGGTTGTCTTTTGAATTTCGCGGCTATGTATAAAGCTCTACACTATACATAACTTGAAAGGTCTTGACATGACCTACAAAACAACGCTATGCTTGATTAGTTTGGATATTGCGTTCAACAGTTATAAACGTGTGAACATGGAGTTCACTAACGCCGAAATTCGCACTATTTTAAAGTTTTTCTTCGTTAAAGGCAAATCCGCTAGAGAAACGTTCCTTGAGATTAATGGTGTTTTGGGGGATGGTGTTCTATCACTTCGAACCGTGGAGGAATGGTTTCGACGATTCAGAGCCGGTGAAAACGACACCATGGATAAGCCAGCCGGCGGAAGACCTGTGACGACAAATACCGATCAAATCATGGAATACAACGAGTTAGACTGGCATATGGCATCTCGTGACATCGCCCAGGAGATAGGAGTTAGTCACCAAACGATTTTGAACCATTTGCAGAAGGCATAATTTGACGCAAAAAAACCTTCTGGACCGAATCAACGCCTGCGATATGCTGCTGAAACGGAACGGACTCGACCCATTCTTGAAGCGGCTGGTGTCTGGTGACGAAAAATGGATCACATACGACAATATCAAACGAAAACGGTCGTGGTCGAAGGCCGGTGAATCGTCCCAAACAGTGGCCGAGCTGGGATTGACGGCCTGTAAGGTTTTGCTGTGTGTTTGGTTGGATTGGAAGGGAATCATCCACTATGAGCTGCTCCCATATGGCCAGACGCTTAATTCTACCATCTACTGCGAACAACTGCACCGCTTGAAGCAGGCGAATTGCCCAACAGGAAGGGTGTAGTGTTCTACCAGGACAACGCCAGACCACACACTTCGTTGATAACTCGTCAGAAGCTACGGGAGCTCGGATGGGAGGTTTTATCGCATCCACGATATAGCCCGGACTTAGCGCCAAGTGATTACCAATAGTTCCTGTCCATGGCGAATGCCCATGTTGGTGTGAAGTTGAATTCAAAAGAGGCTTGTGAAAAGTGGCTGTCCGAATTCTTCGCAAAAAAGGAGGGGGGCTGCTACGCGGAAGGTATTATGAAGTTGCCGTCTAGATGGAAAGAGATCATCGAACAAAACGGCGCATATTTTAACTAAATCCGATCACTACAACACTTTTTATTAAGCATTTAATGAAGAGCAAAAAAGCGAAAGGAGATATTTGGCAACCTTATATTAAGAGCTATTAAAATTAGTTTGCTCCGATTTGACTATACAAAATATCTTCTTTGTTGGTAAAATTATAATTTTATTTTTAAATTCCTAAGGAATTCAAAAGAAAAAGGACTAAAAATAATAAAATTAATGTAAATTGAGATTAGAAAATAACTGTTTAATTTTTGCAAAATAGAATATTTTATATAAATATTTTTTGCTTTCAAAATAGTTTTCAGCAAGTAACCATAAAACCCAATAAAAGTACATAATAACGAATATCGGTAAATAAATTAGGAATCAGATTTAAAATTCCAAAAAATTAATTTAATTATATTAAATATTAATGCATGGAAATTCATTCAAAAATTCCATAAGTGTCAACCATGTCAGCTCTTAAGCCACCCTAGGTGCCACTCAAATTGGATAAAAAAAAAAAAACAAATTAACACAAACAAAAAAGAATAACAAAAATTAAAAAACTCAAAAAAAAAACATACTTAAAAACCCACGTATCGTTAAAATGTTTAAGCGAAGTGCATACTTGTTTGAAATTTTTCTTTTTAATAATCAACAGAGGTATATATGTGTATTCGAGTATATGTGTATATGACTATATATGTATGTACGCTCGTGCACTCTTTTATCTTGAATGCAACGTTGCGTTCACGGTCTTTAATTAAAGTGTCGAGTATTTGCCTAAAAGGCACTTTCAAAAGCGCTGTCGCTGGCATGCCAGCGTACACCACGGCGTATGAGTGATATACCAGTAAATGGTAGTACATAAAAATGTTGTGCCTTAAAGGTTTGCACAAGAGCATGCACACATTTACATATCATTATAATTTGCTTTGACTACCACTTTCATGTATATATATA